TTATTAATTTCGTGAATTTCGTTTACTTGGGAATCAGCAATAACACCGATAATAATGTCAGCATGGTAATCCAACGCAGAATCACTCTTACCAACAAGTGCTACTTTGGACTGAGTAGGCAATTCAGGAGTAAAGTCCTCTCTCGACGTACGAAAACCACATTCTATAAGTCACTCATTATGCTCGTGCTGGTATATGGCGCAGAAGCATGGACAAAGACAACATCCGATGAGGCGGCTCTTGAAGTATTCGAGAGAAAGATTTTGCGGAAGATTTACGGGCCTTTACGCGTTGGCGACGGCGAGTACCGCAGACGATGGAACGATGAGCTATATGAGCTTTACAACGACATGGACATAGTGCAGCGAATTAAAATACAGCGGCTCCGCTGGCTTGGTCATGTCGTTCGAATGGACACCGACGCTCCAGCTCTGAAAGTATTCAACTCGGAACCCGCTGGTGGTAGCAGAGGAAGAGGAAGGCCCCACTCAGATGGAAAGACAAGCTGGAGAAGGACTTGGCTTCACTTGGCGCCAGTTGGCACACAAAAGAAACGACTGACGTGTTATCAAAAAAAAGTTAATAACTTCGAATTTTCCAAAATTGCTCAAATTTTATTTTATTTTTTATGATTGTAAACCGAATAAAGTGATTTTGGGTGGCCAACTTGAGAGATTTTCAATCAAAGACAGAAAGCTTAACCTTTTTTCAAAGCCAGGACAATTTGTTTAAATCAGGACAAATACTGGAAAATTAGGACGTCTGACAGCCCTATTGAAAACGCGCCAGAAACGAAAACACAAGTTGACAGGTGGATGAAGACAAAAATATAGCTTAGCTCGAGTTCACACTACTCCTTCGCTAACTTTTAGATGAAAGCTTTCGTACAATTGTTTTCGCAAACTTTTTCGTGATAGAAAAAAGTAATGGATTACGTATTTGCCAATGTTATTGTGGTTTGTTAACATTTTATTTTTTAATATTTTTATTGAGCTTTGTACCACGATTGTTTATTAGGAAATATTGAAAAAGCAACAAAGTCTAAGCGGTAGAAGTTATAGCACTATTTCGGAGATCACCACATCTCCTCATCAGACTTCTTTTTTCTAGACTTCCCTGCTGAAGTCTAGAAAAAAGAAGTCTGATGAGGAGTAATGGATTACCTATTTTCCCACTGAGTGTTTATCCGTAAAAATCGCGCGTTGTGGTGTTGATGAAAATTCACCATTTGAAAGCACATTTATATGTTTGGCTGTAGCTGAGTGCGCAAAGATGTTTGCCGCAATTTGTTGATATCCAGAGAGGGTTAGTGTTCGAATTCCACTGCAGGGAACATGCAAATTAAATATTTTTTGTTTGTTTTTTTTTTTGTTATTGTCTTGATTATTCATTTCACGTATGCTTTTTCAGAACGAACGCGGTCATTTTAATATGCGCGTAATTGAATTGAATATTTACCAATATACAGTACTTTCGTTGACGTTTATAGTAAGATCTTGATTGATTTTAATATTTTTTTCCCTCAGTGTTCATTTACAGGGAGCCCAAATGCGTCATTTGGCCGAGAATTGCAACGCATTTAACCCATTAAGGACCAATGGGTAAAAAAAATCCATGAATGTTTCAGTTTTCAAAAAGTTGTCAAAATTTGTTAGAAAGAGTTAGAAAAAATTTAGAAACAGATTTGTTAGCTGAAAGGTAGAGAAACCTAAGCCTAGTAGAGACCATACTGCGATTTCCTTTAGTAAAGGGAGTTATCAGACGCCGAATAATACAAATTTTTCGAGTTTGGAAAATAAAACGGGGGGAAACAGCACAACTAATAAATTATTAAAATGTTATTAGGAATATTTTATTCCATCTTTTACCATTACATCGATGCAAATTTTACCTTCGTTTTGTAAATTACATGCGAGAAGCTACCGATTTAGCTGGCTGGGTACTTTTTTACCCATTGGTCCCTTGTGTGCATAAAATAACAGAGTATTACTTACATATGTATTTCTTATTGAAATTTTGCAAATTGGTATTTAATTTTGTTTGAAAAATACTTATTTTATTAAAATATGGATTGCAACAATCAAATTTTATTATTTTGACTTAAAGGTTTTAGCTTGGTCCCTTGGCTTATTATGTAAATTAGGTATTGCATTTTCGGCATCCATACATAGTTTTTCCTCCACACTGGAAGCAGCGAGAGCGTTTGTCCAGTTTGGTGTTAAAATGGTCAACGCGGTCCATTCTAGCGGACAATTCTGATCCCGCTGACACTGTTTTGCCATGACTGAAGCGACCCTTTGCCATAGGCACAATAATGTCCTCAACGACTGCAAGACGGAATTCGTATTGACTCATAGGTATTTTACGTTCATATTTTGCGCACAAACAATGCAATTTCCACGAACTAACCACTGCGGCGTCCAATGCGTTTGTAAAAAGTGGCCAGTACCATTTTTTACCACGCATGCTAATGTGATAATTATTCATAGCGTTATCAAATAGATCAACGCCACCCATTGTTTGGTTGTATTGGGGAACCACTTGTGGTTGCGGCAACCAAATGAATTTTTTTGTTTCGTGGTTGAAGCGTTTGGCCTTAGTTAATGGTTCATGGGAGTTATGGTTTGGCATCACTGTAACAACCTGAATTATAAGCATAGGCTTAGAATGAGTTTTAAAGAAATTACAAATACTTACCGAACTATCTTTCCATCGGACAACGTAAATCTCCTCATTACGCTCAAAACAATATTCGTATGAACCACGAGCCGTAGCTTTTTTCTTCATTTCTTTCACTGAGGTCAATGGGGAGCCAGATGTTCGGTTTTCACGTACCGTTCCGGTTGCGAAGTGACCAAACTCTGACAAACGACACATCAATTTAAAGCTGGTAAAAAAATTGTCGAATGTTACATTGTGATTTCCAGGAGAAGTAACATGTGACATCAGTTCCAAAACTACTTTTTCCCCAAGACCCATATTTTCGTTTTTATTGGCCGTTTCTCCATATGGAATATACTGGAAACAAAACCCCTCTGCAGAGGCGAGTACCCAATGTTTATATCCGAACCTTATTGGTTTCCCTTTCATAAACATTTTGCATGAGTGCCTGCCGTAATAGGAAATCATCTGCTCATCGATGGATGAGTTATGCGCAAAGACACCAAACTGCATGAATCGATCGTTCAAAATTTTGTTCAAGGGTGATATTTTTGCAAACTTGTCAGCCTTATCCAGATTTCCGTTATCGCATACATGAATAAATGATTTTACTTGTTTGAATCTTGTGCGGCTCATGGCATCTTTGATACACATATTTCCAACAGATTTCCGAGTTGCCCAATAAGCGTTGATGTTGGGCAAGCGATTGTACCCAGTGATATACAATATGCCAATTAAGGATTGCATTTCCTCTGCCGTTACAATGAAATTGACAGCGTTACGTTCATGTGCATATTGATTAGTATGATCGGTAATAAGCTTCAGCACTTCATCATCTATAAAGCATTTCCATAGTTCAGCTGGGGTAAACTCGACTAAATTAATAATGTTAAGAATAGAAAAGAAAGTATTTTATATTTTAATATTTATCACTCACCTATTTTTGTGTGCAACTGCTGTAGTATCCACAGGGAATTTTTCGAATTTCGGTACGCGTTTAGTCTATTTTAAAGATGGAGCCGTGGAAGTTGGATCTAGTCGAGAACGCTCTGGTAGTGGTGGCATATTCTCCTCATTCTCAACGTTATCCATTGCACATTGCGGATTGCCATCATTGTATTGAAATTCTATAATATTTTCATCTAGATCCTCTTCATTGCTGACTTCTTCCACTGGCGGTGGATTAACAATTACATCGATTGCATCGGCGTTTGAATCACAGTTCTCATCATCATTGCACCAAGCGTCCAATACGGCCTCTAGCTCCGCTTGCGTTAAACAGTTACGGCGACGAATCATTTTACACGCACAAGTGGCAACAATTTAACAACTGACAAAATACGGCAAATATTTGCGACAGACTAGCTTACATTGCAAAGAAAATTTAACAGTAATTTCAAAAACAGGAAAATTTGTGTATTTTTTTGTCAAACGTAAATAATTGTAAAAAAGTTAATCAGCTGTCCCACTGCTGTTTCTTGCTCTTTGCTCTGCTCTCTGAGTCTGAATGTTAGCCGTTGAAGCTAAGCTAGCCAACGTCAAGTTTTGCTATTTTAAATTATATACACAACGAACCAATGGGTGAAAAAATACCCCTCAAATATCTCAGTAATTGTAGAGTTAGAGAGCTAAAATTTTTTGTGTGATCATTTTGAGTCAATTTTAGGCCGTGTGTAAAATTTCATCAAAATCGTATGGCTGGAACTGGTACCCATCTTTAATGGGTTAAACAAAATCACAAAGCAAATGTTTTCCAACTATTTTATTGAACACACTCAAAAACAAAAGCTCTCCACAAGCTTTTGTTGTTTTTGACATTTTGAATTTTTCAAATCAAAATAAATTCAACGTAATAAATAAATCTTTAATATTTGGGTATAAAAATTGTTAATTTGGCCGTTGTTAGTTAAATCAAAGAATAACTGCATCTTATGTGTCCAAAACGCATTAAAAAATATAAGGCATGCAGTGTTTGTTTACATTCATTTTGTTTTTCTTTTCCGTTTTCACTTGATGAGAAGTCAAAGGAAAGGCGAATAAAGCAGTATAACCGCCTTCAAATTACTGATTGCAAATGGGTCCAATCCAAATGTAATATAAGTCTGTGATGCACTTAAACTTTTTATTCAAATGGCATCTTTTTTTTATTTTCTACGAATTATCAGATTTTCAGGTAGCACAGAGAAAAAAAATATAACGCCCAAAAATGAAACACATGTCCAACACTGTATGTACCTATGTATATTGCATTACAATAAATTCAATTAAATTAAAATTATTTTTATACTTTCGAAATTAATATTAGTACTTGCTTTTTCCATTAAACTTTTCTTTCACAGCAAAGCCGTTCTAAGCATGTTTAAACACGTATCGACGACAACACAGAGGGAAGGCACCACACAAGTGACAGGTGGGTATACGCCCAGGGTAACGTAACGTTGCCTCTAATTAGCACAAAGAAAATTACGATGTGAAATGCTGAACTTCATTTTGCTTCATCGATTTTCATTGAAGCATAGCGCCATATGCATACGTATGAATGTATGCACATTAGGCCAAGCCAGAAAACAAACCCAGCAATCCGACTGGAAACTGACACAAATTTTAGTATTTGGTACTGCAATGATCCTCCATGATTCTCCCCATTCATGATAATTCTAAGATATGCCGCATCGATCGTTTATTTCCCCCCTAGGCCTAGGATAATTTAGGAATTTAAAGTCTGCATAATACTTAAATGGCACATAATCAATGTATTTTACAGTTTCGGACTGATTGATCCTAGAAAATTATATTAACTACAAAGGAGGAGAAATCGTTCTCTTACGTGTTATTCCTATGGGATACATTGGCGTCGCTACCTAGGGGCAGGGGGGGCTCGATGATTGCATACCCGAAAATTAGATTAATAAGTTGAAAATTTTATGAAAATTTGTGGAATTTTCCTAAATTTTGTATAAAGCTTGTAACTGTGATTTATGTGGTTTTTGTTAAAGCTTGAAAAATTAGCTCGAAAAACATTACGAATATTTAAAAAAAAACTGCGTATAACTGCGTACTTAGTTTTTCTCTCTGACGTCAGGATTTTTTTTTAAAGACTTTGGAATTTAAAAAATATGATTATTTCAAAAAATTATTTTAAAAGTTCAGTGCAATTTGGCATAAAGATAAGGATATCAAATATAAGAAAAAATTCTGTAGAATTATAACAGAATAAACTTTTTGGTGCAAAAGAGCGAATGGGTATGGAAAAGTCCTTTAAAAATTTTGTCCTGAAAAATCCTTGAAAATTTGCAATATTTATTTTTGAAAAAATTATTGTTTGAGGACAAATATATGTATATACGACCACATCATCGAATTTCGTCCTGCAAACTTTATTAACTTGAAAAGATAAAATTTATTAAAAACGCATTGTCAATACCTATTCGTTAGCGTGGGCCGAAAATCCGTTTTTTTAGAATTTTGGTTGGTAATAGCAAAAATATGGTTCACTATGCTCTAAAAACAATCTGTGTGAAATATGAACATTTTTGGTCAATATCTTAGGCTCGCCCAAGTCCATCAAAGTTCAATATAAAAATTAATAAATAAATTAAGTAATACATTTTTTTACTAAAATTGCAATAATCTTCTAAAGTATTAGTCCTACATAATTAGGTATATGGACCTTTTTTGTAGAGAATCGAAGTTAGCTAGGAAAAATTTTTTTTAGTACTTGAACTTTGATGGACTTGGATATTGACCAAAAACTTTCACATTTCACACAGATATTTTTTAGAGCATAATGAACCATATTTTTGCTATTACCAATCAAAATTCTAAAAAAAACGGATTTTCGGCCCAAGCTACTATTACTATATATATACCTTGTAAACCAAAAAACTTTATTCAGCCTTATCATGAGTTTAATTTTCCCCGAACCGCTTCACTTTTCAAATTATAGTTTCCATGGTTTTACTATGGGCGGATGACGAATTTTCGGGTGAATTTTTTTAGGCGAAACTCAGGATAAGGCAGATTTTGTTTTTTTTGTGTTTCTCTTTCATTTGGTACCCATAGTGTTGTTCTACATTGCACTGATTTTATTAAATAATTTTTTGAGTTAATCATATCTTTAGAATTTGAAAGTCCTTTGAAAAAAAATCCTGACGCCAGAGTGAATAACTAAAAACGTAGTTTTACTATATTTGGCCCATAGTTTCGTGAGTAAATCGATTCTTTCGTGTGGTCTGAATTTTTTAGTTTTTGTGGCACAGTGTTATTCATAGTTTTGAAATATATTTCATGAAAGCAAAAAATAAAAATAGTTTACCTTGTTTAAACACCTACGATATCACTGACCATTATAAAGGACCCTGAATGACGAGAAAGCTCAAAGCTTTACAAATTTGTTGATGTGATTTTTGAACTGAACGATACAAACTTAGCCGGTATACATTTTTAAAAGTTTTACAATCAGTAGTTGAAATTTTATTTTGAAAGGGTTAAGAAAGCTTTAGTTTAATAGTGTGATACTAAATGCCCTTCACCATAAAGTGATACTAAATGCCCTTCACCATAAACGGCGCCAATTTTCTGGGTTATCAAGCCTCCAGCAGTACAAGATTAATTGTTGTCTTTAACGAAGTTCTCTAAATAAATCTTCAACTAAATACTGAAGTATATTTACGAATATCACGTTTTATTATATGCTTAAATTTAATTTCTTAATTTTAGTAAGTATTTCTTTACTGCATACATCCGAATTTCGGGTGTTTTTACTAGTTTTAATAAATTGTCGGTTTAATTTCTTATAAAATTTACCTTTAGGTTTATACATCTTAAGCATACATCGAAAATTTATTTTAGAAAATCAATGTGAAATAATTGCAGAGACGATTAACCGGTTTGCTGTGCAACTGAGACGTCTGATTTTTAAATAATTTTTGTAAACAAATCGGCAAGTACATATCGTTCCCCGCATGCCAGAAACATGAATGTGTAAAAATTAAAATTTTGGGAAATCAAGTTTTACGAGACTTAGCTCTGCATTCATGTAATTGACATTGTAATATATGTGGTTTCCGTGTACGCATGGTATTCTGGGTTTTGGTATAACATAGGACATCCAAAGGTTAATCAAGTCAACCCAATAACTCAAAATTGATAAATTTGCACATTCATGCTTCTGGCATAAGGGCGACGAAATGTATTTACTTCACATTTATTAATTTTTTATACGTCTGTCCTACATATCTTCGTAGTAAGAAAATAGTAGTTATATTTCGACACCTGAGTGGAAGATCGACCTATCTCGGCAGCCAGTTCGAAATCCACCTATATCAGAAAACTTTTCAAGAACGCCCTACTTCAGAATTTGATTGAAGAACGCCCAATTTCAGAATTTTATTGAAAAACACCCTCTCCGAGAATTTGGTTTAAGAAAGCCCTATTTCAGATTTCGTTTCAAAAACGCCCTATCTCAAATTAATATGTATTGAAAATGTGCTGAGGTAGGGCGTTTTGGAATCAGCAGCTGAGTTAGAGCGCTTTTGAACCAAATTCAGAGATAGGGCGTTCTTGAAAAGTTTTCTGAAATAGGGCGTTTTCGAACTGCCTGCCGAGATACGTCGATCTTCCACTCAGGTGTCGATTTCCTGTTAATATTCCTCTATTTGCATGAAAACAAGTCAAAAAAGTTTAGTACTCCACTCTACTTACTAAACTAAATTTATATTAGGCTACTAGTTAAGATTGTCATTTCAAATGGAACCATTTAGTTTACACATATGTATTAATAAGGAATTGATTACATTAAAAGTTTTAAATAAAATTTTTGTGGGATATTTTTATATGTCACTTTGAATTTTGAGTTAGCTCATTTTAGATCTAGGTGTGCGATATGATTCTCCCCTCATGGAGGATAATTACTACATATACCAAATCCTAAAACTTGAATCAGTTTCCGGCCGCATTGCAGGAATTTTTTTTTGCTTGGTTTAATGCACATATTTACTCACATAACACAGTCCGGCAAAATCTTGCTTTTTTGTGTAAATGCGAAAATCCAAAAGAATCTCTTGATGAACATACATACATATACGTATTTTGGCGATTTGCTGCAGCACCTCAAAATATTATTTAAATCGACTTTAAAGTTTGGACTTAGTGCTGACGATCGTAAATAAATTACACAATGTAAGACATTTTCAAAAATTCTCATAATCACGGCACTTGATGCATGAAATTCATGTAAAATTTTCGGCTGAATCCAAATTTGATAGACGCATTATGTGAAATTTAAACGATTTTCGTGATGTTATAAGTTTACAGCTTTTTTTTAAGTTATTTCATGTTTGTTATATAAAATTAAAAAGCCTTTCGAGGAAAACAAAAGTAACCAAAATCGGCGGAGAAGTGACAGAGTTATGGTTAATGAAAGTGTAATTTGATAAAAAAAAATATTATTCTTAGGCAATCACCAACAAATAAGAAATTTTGCGCCTTGTCTTTACGTGTCATAATCGAATGAAAAATGTAAGACATAGAGTAAACAAACCTATATTTACTTTTACATTCTACTTCTTTTTGTATATTCTTATCAATTGTCAATTTCATCGAAACTTGTCAGAGCTTAGGTAATAATTCATTAACGACTTAGGTGAATAAAATTATAATACCCCCTCTTCACGTAGAGAGTTATAAAGAAACGCTAGTGGGTGTATATGCACATATTAACAGATATGTGTGCTTACTTAAAGTGTCATAAAAAGATAGATAGAAAGACAATATGATAAGAATTAGTTTAATTCGTTTTGTATTCAACTTTTATCTTTACCATGGAATAGTCGCACCTTTTGGCATCAGAATAGTTCTGAGGGAGACAAACTCCAATTTTGTATTTAATTACCTTTTCAATATGATTTTATTTATTTAAATCAGGCAACTTTTATTAATTTACTATATTATAGCTTATACCCGCGTGTTTTACCCCACGTCTTAATACACATATGAAAAATTATTTAAATATGCTATATTTTATTTCTGTTATAGCTGTATATAATTTTAAGTACACTGAGGGAAATAATGCATAGTAAAAATGAATATTTTATATTTGATTATCGTTTAAAAATGTTCGTATTTAAAAATAATATTTTCATACAAAATTTATTACGCACGTATTTGACTGTTCACATCTGAGTATGTATATGCAAGTGTACATACGCACCCCAAGCATGCAGAGCGCCGCTCTGAGAGCGGCGACAACACACACATACATACATAGTACAAATCGCGTGCTGTGGTGTTGATGGATATTCAACATTTGAAAGTAAATTTATATGCCCGGGTGTAGCTGAGTGCGCAAAGATGCTTGCCACAAGTTGTTGATATCCGGAGATGGTCGGGTTCGAATTCCACTGCGGGCAA